TAGAACCAGTGGCGAATATAAAAATAAAAGAAATATTTACTTAAACAAACTTAATACCAAAGAAATTAAAGAACCGAAGTCTTCCACTATGACGTTTTATCAAATTGACTATGATGAAGAATCAGGGATTTATTCATAGATAATATTATCTCAATATCTTTAATAATGAACTTATTAGAGATGTTTAGCGGGACAGGCAGTGTTGGACTTGTTGCAAAAGCAATGGGTTTCAATGTTATTTCATTGGATTTGAAAAATGCTGATATAAATACTGATATTTTGAAATGGGATTATGAACAATTTGATAGGAACCATTTTGATTTTGTGTGGGCAAGTCCTCCATGTACGGAATACAGCAAAGCAAAAACTACGGGAATTAGGAATATCAAATATGCAAATAGTATTGTCTTAAAAATCTATTGATATTATCAAATATTTTGATCCTAAATATTGTGTAATCGAAAATCCCCAAACTGGGTTATTGAAAAATCAGGAGTTTATGGATGAGTTTGATTTTAAAGATGTAGATTATTATAAATATGGATTTAATTACAGAAAGAGGACTAGGCTATGGAATAACATTACAACTTGGAAACCTAGAGATTTATGTAAAAAGGATTGTGGCAACATCAGGAAAAATAAACATATTGAAACTGCGCAAAGACTGCCAAATGGAAACAAGGAAAAATGGGGAGACAATCCAATAATACATAAGCAGGAAGATTTATATAGACTACCTAGCGAATTAATTAGTGAAATCTTGGTGAGTTTGACGGATTAAGGATTTTGAGTTTGGGGTTGGGCTTGAAACTTGAAATTTCTAGGTTCATCCAACGACAAAACAGCATGTTTTTCTTGAAATTAGGTGGGGTTCCCCCTTTTTTGGGGCGACTGTTCCCCCTTTTTTGGGGCGACTGTTCCCCCTTTTTTGGGGCGACTGTTCCCCCTTTTTTGGGGCGACTGTTCCCCCTTTTTTGGGGCGACTGTTCCCCCTTTTTTGGGGCGACTGTTCCCCCTTTTTTGGGGCGACTGTTCCCCCTTTTTTGGGGCGACTGTTCCCCCTTCTTTGGGGCGACTGTTCCCCCTTTTTGGGGCGACTGTTCCCCCTTTTTTGGGGCGATTGTTCCCCCTTTTTGGGGCGACTGTTCCCCCTTTTTGCGGCGTCTGTTCCCCCTTTTTGGGGCGACTGTTTATTCATATTATTTAATTATAATATATATTAACATTGTAAAACTTTATAACCTTTCATTGTACTATAGTTATACTCTATTTTTATTGAAAATTTATTGTTGATGTTCTTTCTATATGAATGAACTTAACCTTGCCCATCTTTTCTACCATCCAATAACCATATCCTATGAACTACCCTATACTCCTATTTCCACTCCAGCATCCTAACAATGACAAGAATGATGGAATAGAAATGAGAAAAATGTGACTTTTTGAAAGAATTTGAGGTTGAGACTGTTATGAAATGTCTTGAGTGGAGAAGGAGCCCACTCTAACTAATAGATGCCACTAGGTGCCAACAGGTGCCAATAGATTTCAATAGATGCCAATTGATGCCAACAAATGCCTGAGGATGCCAACAACTGCCAGCAAATGCCAATAGGTGCCATTAGGTTCCAATAGGTGCGAATTGGTGCCAGAGTAGATGGCAATAGATGGCAATAGGTGCCAACAGGTGCCAATAAATGCCAATAACGAATAGGTTGCTTCAAACACGATTCCAAACAGGGAAAGGGCTGGCTGAGTCTGGTGCTTGAGCTCTTTGGCATAAGCAGCTCCAGCAGACTGCTGCCCGGCAAGAGCTCGAGCACCAGGCAAATGCTGTCCTCAAGGAACGCTCCGACAGAGCCAGGCTCACAACTCATACTCTGGCAGGCCATGGAAGCCATGGAAGCCATGGAAGCCATGGAAGCCATGGATTCCGGATCACGTGCGTTCTCCTGATCCTCAAACACCTCAAAGAGCTTGACCACATTGGGATGGTCTAGGCCTAAGGCAAGCGTCGGAAAGCGAATTTGTCGAATGTCGAAAGCTGGGGTCCACTGCGTAGAAGGGCTTCCACCTCTCGCACCTCGATCTCCCGTTTCTCATGTGCTATTGAATTGTCGCGTTTCAGTGTTTGTTTGCTACATAAGTATAAGTAACATGAGGGCATTGGCATGCATTGGGATGCGCACCTCATCTCGCCGCCTTCTACCAACTTCATGTGGAGTCGGCTGTCCCTGGCCCGCTTGCTGACTTGATAAGGACAAAGGCAACAAAACGCTCAAGTGCGCCTCATCTTCATCCACGATGAGCCTTTTTCTCGAAACCTGTGAGAACTCGGGCTGTGATGCGGCAATGGAAGCAATGGAAGCCATTTGGACCCACTTGCCTTAGACTTCTTTTTCAGCGCTCGAAGAGCCCTGGTCCAAATGCTGGATCTGCAAGACTCCCGGCACAAACGGCCTGGTGCTCCGATGCCTTGCCAGCAGCACCTTCCAACAGATCTACACAGATCCACAGATCCATTGATCCATCGAGTGTCGGGCCTCCCCAGAGGAGCCAAAGCCTGAGAAACCGACACGCTCAGGCTATGAAGCTTAGGTCTCACCGACTCACCGCTCCCTCTTTCCCTCTTTCCCTCTGTCCCTCCTTCCGTCTTCTCTTGAAGTTTCAGGTGGTTTCAGGGTTTCGGCCGTCCCAATTCGCTGAGCTTCCTGCCGATGGGCCGTGGCTTTAGCTCGTAGACCTGCGCACCCCGCGTCCCCCCGTCGAATCCCCGAGTCCCCGAGTCCCCGAGTCCCCGAGTCCCCGATCCTCTGCGGGGTCGGGTGGCTCTTGGTAGCTGGCATCCGCTCCGATCCCTGGAGAAAAGACGCGTAGATTCCATCGCAAAGTTCTCGGTCCTTCAGTGGTGCCGAAGTATCGTGTGACAAGACCTGGGCTATCTCGCATCTCGCACTGATCAGGCTTGGTGGAAGAAATCTGGGCCACACACAGCCAGGGCTGACCACCGGGCGCCGGCACGTGGGCTTTGCCCTACGCGGATGCCTTGCCGTGCTGCCGTGCTGCCGTCCAAAAAAGATGCGAAACAAATGAGATGCAAAATGCAAGGCATCTGCGATCCGCGCCGACCGGTCGCCAAACCCAGCTCCAGCTTTGTCCAGTCCTCAGCTTAGGCTTTCTGCCCGCCGACCAAAACCGCAAGAGGCAGAGGCCGCAAGATCTTCCCTCGAGCCTGCAGCCGGTCTGTCTCAACACATGGGCGACCTAAACCTGCAAAGGGGTGACCAGGTGACCAGCCAGCGAAAACAGAGATCTTAGAACCCGCATGCTTTGAATGGATGTGTCAACAGTGGATACATCCATTTCCGCTTGACTTGGAAGACGTGAAAACTTGTTGGTTTCAGCCTGCTTTGTTTGTGCCGTTTCCTGCGCGTGGGTCACTGTACCCCAGGCGCTGAACCTGTATTTGATCATTCACTTGCCGCACGTTGAAGTAGTTGCGTGCATTCCTGGGCTCTGGCGATCTCGGCTCCCGCTGCACGGCACAGCGTCGCATCTGGCCGCGCCTCGGGACTCCAAGCGCATGAGCTACATGAGCCACATGAGCTACATGAGATTCGTGAGAGCAGCACATTTGGGTGCTCGGTCGCAAAGCTCACCGCCCTGCCGCGTGAGGGGCTTTGCGACAATCAGATTGCCCATTTGCCAAATTGTCAGGCTTGCTTCCTCACCTCAAGTTCTCTGGGGTCGAGATGGCTCGAGATGGCTTGAGATGGCTTGAGAGCTGCACTCTCGAGGTGGCACAAGGACGAGCCCATGGCGTCACATCTTGGCCCAGGGATGTGCCGGCCTTGCCGTGCCTTGAGCCCAGTGAGAAGGCTCTCGGGACTCCCATGCTCTTGCGCGAAACCCGAGAACCCCGAGAACCAACCTGAGAGCCCGTGTCAAACCCCTCAAGCCGAATCAAACTCAGCCCATGTCGAGTCGACCTGAGACCAACTTTCCAACTCTCTCGACGACTCGAAGCACGAGGGCTCAAAAACATATATCTTGCCACGCGAACATCCAGCCCTGCACCCAACTCTGGAGAACTTCCCCCTGAGATTCGCACGATGACACACGCGATAATTTTGCTTTCAGGGAGAAACCATGACTGCAACTATACCGCCAGCCGAATCATTGCAAAGACGGACGTTCCCCGCTATGATGTGAGAATGGGAATCAGGAGCAACCAGCCAACTCTCACTGTCACTTCTAGATTTACGATGTAGCCATATGGAAAAACATAACACACAAACCCCTACACTTTCACGCTCGAGCCCCGCGGAACTGCGTATACGAGCCACGTGTTCGAGATCGGAGAGATGCAGACTCGCGGCATGTTTTGGCTCTCAAGCCTCGGATGTCGGGTGTGGGTTGCAAACGCGCAATCTCTACAAGCGCGGCGTAACGAAATGCACGGATCCGCTCACGTCTCCGGCCCAAAATGCCCTCTGGTTTCGTGCAGTCCCTTCAGGCGCACAAACCGTTCGCTCGAGGCGTGCACAAATTCTGCCACACAGCAATGCTCTGAAAGCTTGATGAAATACACCTTCCGGCAACAACTCAAGAAAGACAGAATCAAGGAGGCAGTCTGTCCACAGTCTGTGCACAGTTTGTCTCATTGGACTAAAAATCTACGCCGTGCTTGGGCTGCACCAATGCATGAGTCTGAGTTGACAGGTTTCATGAAAAGATGCTAGAAAACCACAATTCCCCAGGCAGCTTCCGCATGGTTCCGCACCTGTATTGTCCCGCGCATCTATAGCACTTGCACAAATTCACCGGGTTGGCGGGTTGTATCACTTAATTTACTTCAACCCACTCCCAGGACTTGGAACCAAGGCCGTCAAGGCCGAGCTCAAGGCACTCGCGGACTGCCGCGTAGGGGCAATCTGCGGCCTTGGCCAAATGCCTGAAAGATCTGAAAGCAAGAGACAACTTGTGAAAATACTTTGGAATTCGTGCTTCCGCCTGAAACAGCAAGCTTGACACATGCCACGGCAAGCGTATGCCGGCCTTTTGCCAAGCTCACTGCAGGATTCAACCCGCCCGTTCTCGATTCTCTCCGCAAGGGAGCAGGAATCGACTTTTGCAAACAAGTAGAACTACATCTCATGCATTTGGCTTCGGCCATACGGTCCATCGGATCGAGTGGCTGAGTGCGCCAAGCCCAAGAACACAAGCAACACAATCTTGCAATGTGACCAGTGTATCACTCAGCTTCAGACACTTAAAATTCGCCTCATGCTGTAGCGGGCGCTAATTTGTGTCTGACCTCAAGCCATCCAAAGCTATCCAAAGCCATCCAAAGCCATCTCAAGCCATCTGACTGCCACTCGCAACTCGCAACTCGCAACTCGCAACTCGCAACTCGCAACTCGCAACTCGCAACTCGCAACTCGCAACTCGCAACTCGCAACTCGCAACTCGCAACTCGCAACTCGCAACTCGCAACTCGCAACTCGCAACTCGGACTGCACTGTCGCACTGGGGCCCGTGCTCTCAAGGCCCTGCCGGCTTTGAGAGTTGGCTGCTTGAAGTTCGAGTCCTTTCGAATGCGTCGAATGCGTCGAATGCGTCGAATGCGTCGACGAAGGTTTGGGAGAAAACAAAAGGCGATTTGGGGCTCTGGCGCTCAGCGCTCTGCGGACCTCGCTCGAACATTTCCTCTCAAGGCAATCCAGAGAATCCGGAGTGGGGCCGCAGCAGTTTCCTTGCGAAGAATCATCGTGCGGAAGATGTGTCTTTGAACCTTAGACCCAAGATGTAACTCAAGTCATGTATTGGCCATTAAGTCGGACCCATCCATAAGTGGCCGGCAGCACGGCGCCGCTCCGCCGCTAGGATTGGAAACATGTGCTCGGCAAACCAGGTGTCGCTTTGGGCCTTTCATGCTTGCTGCTTGGTGGGGCATTTCATGGCACGGGGAAGTCAGGACGAACTGGTGATACCTTGACCCACCACAGAAACCGTATGTCCCGCATCCACAGCCCTGCATTTGCTTTCTTCAATTCTTTGTGGCTCTTGGCATTCTTGTTAAACCTACATTCACCTGTAGACACGGATGACTGCTTTGGAGTGAGTAGAATTCCTCACAATCGGTCTGGGTCCAGGAACGGTCACAGGAACAAGCAAGACACAAACAAACAGACACACACACACACAGAGATACAAACACAGACACAGACACAGCTACGGAGACACAGAGACACACGAGGAGACACGCGCACACACACACACACAGACATACCCATAAAGACACACACACAAAGACACACACACCTCCGCACTCATGCGTAAACCCTACCCCATTCCCCGAGGCCTGCCTTGATGTAAAACTGCATATCTGAAACTTGCTCCTTCGGTCTGCAAAGCAACTGTGCGTGTGCCCCGACTCGAGTTCACCCCAGGGACCGCGGACAACCCATCTGCAAGAAATCCCAAACATGGAGAATCTGGTGCACGCATCCATTCCTCCATTGCTTGTTGGCGCCAAGCCTGAGGAGCCTGGCCAACTGCTCAAAACCCAAGATTTGGCATTGAGGCCATACCAGAGCTGCGGCTTTTTGAAGGCCAGCTGCCAACTCCTTGCGAGTGCTCAGCGGCTCAGCTTGGCATAGCTTTCGACTTCAAATTTCCAGATGCCGAAAGCTCGCGCTCCTTCAGACCCAGCTCTTCCGCCAGCGAGATCCACTTCCCAATGCAAAGGTGGTTGCGAGCCTCGCTGGCCGGGCTCGCGTTGGCACGCACTCAAAGCCGGGCCCCGGCAGCACGGGCTGCCAGGCAGCGCACTGTGATGGCAATGACCTCGAAGGCGACCATCGACTCGACCCATTACTTCCTTGCTTCCTTGCTCTTTGCTTTGCATCCCCTAGGCCGATGCTGAGACACGCAAGAACCGCTCGAAGTTCTCGCAGCAACCGTAGTACCTCAGGTTTCGCTCCGTTTCGCTGGATGGCATGGCCACCCGTTTCAAGGATCGGACTCACTGATCTTCTGTCTCAGCACACTTCGATCCGCCGGATCTGAACACCTCGGCAAGATCCAGTCCGTCTTTCCTCTCTTTCCGCTTTCCGCCTGAAAAACAACATGCGGAAAGATTTCGCATTTCTGTGCTTGTGGCTGGGAGCCCGGCTGGCAGCTCCTCACAGAGAAGTGGCGCACGGACTCCAGGAAGCGCTCCTTCCCAGGCGATTTGGCCGTGCCATGGCAAGCCTTTTTTGGCAATGAAGCAAGACATAGGAATACGCTATATGCGCTGAATGCGTGTCTACCTCAAAGGGAACTCCTTTCAGGATGCCTTGGAAGGGAACAAGAAAACCGGCCCGCCTGGAGGTGTTGCAAACTCTTCGGTGGGCTTTTCTTGTCTCTTTTAGCATGCTCGCTTCTGTTGCCCGATCGGAACGCATGCAACTTGGGAAGCAAAGCGTGTCGTGAGTTTGTGTTAGCTCCCTTTCGAAAACTTATGGCCAAAGGCCTAGGCTAAAGAGAAGAGCCGCAAAGACTGCCTGTACAAGGTGAAATTAAGGTGAAATTGCTGGGAACAAGAAGCTGCCCGCTAAGCAATGGGAAACGAGCAGCCCAGTAGCACCGCACGCGGAGGGAATTCAGGTGAAACAAACAGATCTCAGCATGATATGCCCTTTCTCTCCCGTTCCCCTTCTCTCCCGTTCCTCTGTCCCGTTCCCCTTCTCTCCCGTTCCTCTGTCCCGTTCCCCGTCTCTCCCGTTCCTCTGTCCCGGCACGGTAGAGGGACTCAGCACAGATGACCAGGTCGTGTGGCCTCAGTCGCTCGCGCTCCCTCGCTCCAATCCTTGGGCTTCGTCCCGACTCGTGAAAGACCAGAAAGCACGCCCACTCGTAGACGCACCTGTCAAACCGATCTCTCAACCGATCTCTCAACCGATCTCAATCGGAAAGGCACGGGCCACAGCCGCTGCAGGTAGGACCAAGTCAAAATCACCACCATGCCATCGCAAAGCTGTATAAACTCCTGAAGTCTCAACGCTCAGCTTTGCTTTTGTACTATCCATACAGCCTCGATCAGCTGAATGGACACGGCCATGAACTCTGGCTCGTTTTGTCCTGAACATTCTAGGCCTACCAACATCTGTCAACTCTCCTCAGCTTTGGGTACTGCCAAGGCTCGGATACAGCACTTGTCGATCCAAAAGCGTACCTGAGGCAACGCAGGAGGCTGTTCAAGCTCATGAAGCGTCCGCGAAAATCCATCGAATGGCTATGGCTGAAATTGTCAGGTGAGAAACATTCGAGATGCTCGTCTGTCTCCAGCCTCCTCCCACCGATTGGCATCTTGCAAGTACTCTGCGGCAATGTCCTCAAAATGTCTGAGTGCTTCCAAGAATGGACCCAGTGGCTTTTATCTGGTCCATTGGTGCCCCTTGGAACTCATCCAAAAGGGGGCTCCCCATTGTAAAGCAGACTCCAACCGTCCAACAGATCCGTGCGAATCCCACCTTGGCTGCAATGCACAATTCGGCAGCCTGCAATTCAGCAGTTCTTCAGAATTAAACATGAAAAACAAGCAACCAGACAAGTTCCGCAAAACGCACAGCCTTGACATCCTCGTATTTGCACTTCTTGCCTGGGAAGTTTGTCCACAAATTATGCCGCAAGTTTCACCAGCGTAGACGTTTGTTGCACCTGAACCTTTGAACGTGGGTGAGCACTTGGAGAATAGACTAGACCTCTAAAACGCTTTCAGTTTCGCTGCAACGTGTACCTTGATAGCCAATGAGTTGTGGCATAGACTTTTCAGCGGCGTTTGGAGGTCAAACCACGTTGTAAACATCTCTGACATGGTGAGTCCCGTTTGGCTTTGCGGTAATCCTGCTGAGTATCCTATGGAGATTGCGAATGCCCATGCGTCCAGAACCCTCATTTCCGCTTATTCACGTTTGCGCTAAACCCCCCAGCACGCCACAACATTTTGCGACCGCCCCTTGCCTGCATGCAAATGCGATATATGCATCTGGAACTACGAAACACTTTGATGTGGACATGTTGCAGAGCAAGCAAACCACAAGCGGCAAACCATCATCAACAACCGATTTGGCAGAAAAAGCACCAAGAGAAGCATCAGCAACAACGAGCGACAACAACGAGGGCAAAAGCGACTAGAACAATGCTAGCAGCAACAACAACAACGACCACACCACCACCACACCCACCACCACCACCACCATCACCACCACCACCACCACCACCACCAGCAACGACAACGACAACGACAACGACAACGACAACGACAACGACAACGACAACGACAACGACAACGACAACGACAACGACAACGACAACGACAACGACAACAACGACAACGACAACGACAACAACAACAACAACAACAACAACAACAACAACAACAACAACAACAACAACAACAACAACAACAACAACAACAACAACAACAACAACAACAACAACAACAACAACAACAACAACAACAACGACGACGACGACGACGACGACGACGACGACGACGACGACGACGACAACGACAACAACAACAACAACAACAACAACAACAACAACAACAACAACAACAACAACGACAACGACAACGGAAACGACAACAACAACCGCAACCGCAACCGCAACCAGAACAACAACACCAGCGCCAGCAGCAGCGCCAACGCCAACACCGGCGCCGGCGCCAACACCGACGCCAGCGCCGCCACCACCAACAACAACGACAACAACAACAAAAGACGACGGCCACAGCGGATGACAACAGCAACCGCATTCACAAGGACATATGAGATCACATAAGCGAGTTTAGAACTGTTTGAAGCTCTTTAAACACAAACTGAAGGTTTTTTGGCGTTTTAGTTTTTGCGTAAGTCCAATTCCAATGGTCTACGCGTCTGCGATTTGTGACAACTGTGAGTTGGCACTGAGGTCCGCGCCCATCACTTCATGCCAGTCCTCTGGCTATGTTCCTAATGGGGAGCCTTGATTTCCTGTCTTCGAACTTTTTGGCTCTTGGGAATTTCTGAAGTTTGGCACTCACCCATCATGCTTGGCTGCGCACTCAACGAGGAAAACCCTTCCAAGGGCACATGGGAAAACGCAGTATATCAAGGTGTTTCAACGCATGTCTAGAACGAACCAGTCGAACTGCGGAACTCGGCAAAGCGCACTTGGCTTGTTCGGGACGCAAGAAACATACACCACGCTCGCCCGAGCAGTTTTTTAACCCCCTCCCAACCACCCCTGCCAGGGGTACCTTTCGGCCCTGGATCTGTTTCTCTGCGACGATCTGATGTGTGACATGGTTGCGGAAAATCCTGGGAAGCACAGCGTGTGAATACATGGGCAGCAAGGGCGGCGAGGCCTTTTTCTACGGCAAGTATGTTGGAAACGGGCGCGCACGTGGCAAAACTGATGTGTCCTTCTTCCTTCAGCGCGTCTGAATCTCCACCTTTTGTTGCAATCTTGGCTGATCTGTTCTGGATCTATGGGACATTCTTTTCACCCCTGCTGGTGCGAACAGCGCCTTTCGAGGCGTGACGCAAACGCGAGTGCGTTGCTTGTTCTTCTTATCGAGAGTCCAACAATCCTGCCTCGCTGGTCCGACGATCTTTGGAGTTGCTACGCCCTCTTTCGTTGGTGATGACTTGTATGCGCATAACAACTTCTGATGTCGCAGGCTCTGCTAGAGGGAACTTGACGCTTTCGCCATCATCATAGACGAAACGGTTGGGGCCTTTCACAGCGATCTCTCCGCGCGCCTGCAAGGTCTACAAGAGCATGTCCGGCGCCAGAAACTGGAACTGGTTGCCTTGTCATGTGATTCCTCAGATGACCAACGCTTGCTTCGGAATGTCGACTCTGGCGCGTAAGGCCCAGTTGGCCTCAGCTAACTCTTCATTGGCATTGGCGCTTGCAGGAAGGCACTCATAGGAAATAAAGTGCTTTGTGTCAATTGCTGGATTGCACGCCAGCTTCCCAGCCATTGTCCAAAAACGGATTGTCTTGCGGGTTTACGCCCGGCACCAATAGCCTTGTTGCTAGCAGGCTGTGATTTGCTGTCACTGCAGGGTTGCGAGAG